GAGACATAATCAATGAAACCATTACTTAAAAACAATTCCAAAAAGTCAATGAATCAAAAAGTTGGATGGTTAAAAACATAAACAAAATTAATAAACCCTTAACAAAGCTAACTAAGAGAGAGATAAAAATGTAAATTATTAAATTTCATGATGAAACTGTGAATATCACCACAGACACTACTGAAATACAAAGAATAATCAGAAACTAGTTTAAAAATTCAAACTCTGATAAGCTAGGGAATCCTGAAGACATCAATAAATTCCAGAGAGATATGACCTACCCAAACTGAACCAGGAGAATTTAGACAGATCAATTTCAAGTAATGAGATAGAAGAAGCAATTAAAATCCTACCAACAAAGAAAAGCCTAGAATTATATGGATTCTCAATCAAGTTCTACCATACCTATCCTTAAATTATTTCATGAAGTACAAAAGGAGGAAATGTGTCCCAAACTCATTCTATAAAGCCAATATCACCCTGATACCAAAACCAGAAAAAGACACATAAAAGAAAGAACACTTCAGATTAATATCCTTGATTAATATATATGCAAAAACTCTCAATAAAATACTGGCAAATTATATATGGAAACACATGAAAATGTTAATGCACCATGATCAAGTGGGTTTCATCCCAGGAATATAAGCCTGATTCAACATACAGAAATCAATAAATGTAATCTATCATGTAAATACACCTTAAATATAAGAATCTCAATAGATAAAAAATTATTTGACAAAATACAGCATCCATTCCTGATTAAAACACTAAAATATATAGGGATAGGAGTATCACACCTCAATATTGTGAAAGCTATATATAACAAACCCCAGGCTAACATTATTCTAAACAGTAAAAAGATGTAAATATTTCTTCTAAAAACAGGAACAAGACAGGGATATCCACTTTTACCAGTATTATTGAACATAGTCCTTGATAACCTAGCCAGAGAAATTAGGCAAAAGAAATAAATTAAAGGGAAACAAATAGGAAAAGAAGAATTAAAACTATCTCTCTTTGTCAAAGACATTATTATCCATTTGGCAGAAACAAAAAATTTCACCAGAGAACATCTAGAACTCATAAATAAATTCAGAAAAGTATCAGGATACAAAATTAACACTCATAAATTAATTATGCTCCTCTTCTTAAATGACACATCAGCTTAAAGTGAAATTAGGAAAGCCATTCCCTTCATAATAGCCTTCAAAAAATATTTGAGTTTCAATCTAATAAAACAGGTGACAGATCTCTACAATGAAAACTACAGAATACTAAGGAAAGAAATTAAGGAAGACCTTAGGAGATGGAAAGACCTCCCATGTTCTTGAATAGGTAGAATTAATACTATGAAAATGGCCATACTAAAGCATTCTATAGATTCAATGAAATTCTTTTTTTAAAAAAGAATATTATTTTAGTGTATGTGGATAAAATATCTTTATTTTATGTATCCATCTTTTGTGGTGCTGAAGATTGAACCCAGTGCCTCATATGTGCTAGGCAAGCACTCTACCACTGAGCTACAACTCCAGCACCTCAATGCAATTCTTACAAAAATTCCTATGATATTCTTCATGGAAATAGAAAAAAGCAGCCATGAATTCATTTGGAAAAGTAAGATATCCAGAATAACCAAAATAAGGGGCATCACACAATACCAAACCTAAAAATATCCTACAGAGCTATAGTAACAAAAACAGCATGGTATTGGCACCAAAGCAGGCAATAGAGCAGAATAGAAGACACAGAGACAAACCCACATAAATACAGTTACCTCATACTGGACAAAGGCACCAAAAACAAACACTGGAGAAAAGATATCCTCATTAACAAATGGTGCTGGGGAAACTGGAAATCCATATGTAGTAGAATGATATTTAACTTCTGTCTCTTGCCTTGCACAAATTGGCTCAAAGTGGATCAAGGATTAGCTATTAGACAAGAAGTCCTCACCTGATTTCCTCAGCCCTTTTACCTGACTGCTCTCTGCTGCTGACAGATGCTTTTATGTAATCTCCATCTTTGTTGGATCTATGCTTGACATTGGATGTTGGATATTTACACCTGGAGTTGAGAACTGAGGGAAACTTCTTACTGGAGAAGAACATTTAGAATTATATACATTGTCCTCTGGGGTCAGACTTGGATGATTGGGAGTCAATAAATAAATATTCTATCTCTGGAGATTGTGATTTCTTTAAGGATCTGAGTAGCAATTGCTGCCTCATTTGTGGGCCCCTAGGGCTGATTGCTGAAACTTCTTTGTTAGAGGCACAACTCTTATTTGCTCCTGTGTGCTCTGAACACAGACGTCTCCAGAGAAGAGCAACCCACTTTAGTGCCCAGACTTGTTGCTTGAGCTTGGACATTGAACTTTATATTGAGTTTGTTTATCCATCTGAGAAATAAGGAAATGCAGAAGGAGAGTGAGGCTCATGATTTTGAAGGTTCTATGATTCCAGAATAGATAGTCTTTACTCACTTTTATCAAAAATGCATTTATTATAAAACAGATTAATTTTGTATGAAAATTAATTGCAATGTTCATTCTTGGACTGAGATTTCAGAAAGATATAATAACTTACTTTCAAATGACTTGCTGAATTTAGTCCCAGCCTTTCTTTCTATGACCCTGTTCTTCCCTTTTGGAGTGGGAAGGGTTTACACAGTGCCATTATCTACTGGGTGTGCATAACTTGCTTTGATTTTTACAGGGGCTCACAAATAATAAATTGGCTTGAGTATCAAAGTAGAATTTGCACTTGGACTTTTGGGCAATACTAAAACTGTTAGGACTATGACTTTTAGAGATGGATGAAATGTATTTTGTCACAAGATGTACATGAGCTTTTGTGGGCCAGAATTCAATGTTATGGTTTTGATATGAGGTGTCTCCTAAAGCTCCCTGTGTTAATGTTGGAATAATTAAAGGTAAAATGTTTGTATTATGGGATTTAAATTTAATCATTCCATCCTTGTTTGAGTGGAGTAAGTAGGTGGCAATTGTAGGCAGGTGTGATGTGGCTGGTGGAGGTGGGTCACTGGGGGCATGCCCTAGAAGGTTTTGTCTTTCTTATAGCTTCTTCCCCCTCACTCTGCCTTCTGGCCACCTTGGGAAGAGCAGCTTTTATCTGTCTTCCTCTCATTTATGATGCTTCTAGTCACCTAAAACAGAATAATAAATTGGCATATGTGAGAAATCTGATTGTAAAGATACATGAGACTGTTACCATCAGCAGGGAAAATTCAATAACTGCTAGGGTATATGGATGGATAAGATGTTCTTAAACCAACACCTACATTTTCATATACCTCTCACTTAGGTTTCTACATACTGTACATAGTACTAATGGGATATAGCCTTTACTTTTTCTATGAGTTAAAAATGGTGCTGAGTCTGACCCTCTCAGGTACTGCCATATTGTCATGATTGGGGAGATTGAGTAATGGGGTGTTCCTGAGAAAGAATGATCTCTTCTATTAAATTCATATAATCTTTCTAATTGCAATGTTGAGTTCAAGGTTTGAAACTTCAAGTTAATGGTAGAAATCCCACTGTATAAATGTACCATCTTGAGTGATGGGCTTTAGCAATTCTTCAGTACTGTGAACACTGGCTGGGTTCCTGACTATGCTGATGTCATTAATAAGTCACAATGTTCTTCTGAGGCCTTAGTGATAGCTGGTCTCATAACAACCTTGTTGTTGTACTTAGCACTGCTCAGGACAGTGAGTTAGCTAACAGATAGCCTTTCTCCATTTTATTTCCACGTTTTGCAAGATACAGGCTTAATTCTTAGTTATCAGCAAGTAAAGCTTTGAGAGTTGAGCTTCAAAGAGAAAGTTACCTGATCTGAGTAAACTTCCAAAGACTTGAACCATGAAGAGAAGGTAAAAGATGAAACATCTAGAAAGAATTCTAATCCCCTAGCTTAGAAAGACATCAAGGGGTATGTGTCAACATCTTCTCTGGGCCAAAGATAACCAAGAATTGCCTTTCAATGGAAGGGTAACTGATGTGATACAGCAATCTGTATACGGGGTAAAATTGGGAGTTCATAACCCACTTGAATCAAACTGTGAAATATGATATATTAAGAACTAAGTAATGTTGTGAACGACCAACAATAAAAAAATAAATTAAAAAAGGAAGAAGAAAGGATTTCTAGTTAGTTGCAGAGGATTGAAGTAGAGAGGGAGAGAAAGAGCAAAAGAAATTTCTGAGGGAGGGAAGAAGGTAGAATAGGGTGTTTTCTGTATAGTTCTTGAAGTATTCATTAACTAAGAGAAGATTTAGGTGATTCAGTCCTTGTTTCCCTAGCTTTGGGTCTAGATCACCTACAAAAAATAACTGTGTTGCAGTCACAGTGTCTTCAACAGACATAGTGGTTGGTCTAGACTAACTTTCCTTAAAAGATTTGCATTTCTTTTCTTTAGACTTCTTCCTGAGGGATTTTGGAAAATAAATTATGTGATGAATTTTCTAATAGTACTTTTTCCTTTTAAAAGTATGAAAGTGGCTGACAGGAAGGGAGGGAAACATTGAAAAAAATCAAAAACTTTAAAACTGGTTGTACAGGATGCATATAAAGTTGTGTTGAATGTATACTCAGGAGTAAATACTAATTGTTTCATTTCAGACTCTGAAGTTGGAAATGTGGGGCTCCTATGTGACGTGTAAAGAAGAAACAAAAGAACAAACATAAACATTTAATCATGATGTCTAAATTGAGATAAGATTTGGCTTTTCATAGAAAATGGAAGAGTGTTTATCAACATGGAGATTAACAGTCAACAAATTGCTCTTATGACTATTGTTCAGTTGTGGTAGGGGACAGATTGGAGCCAACATCACCATTCCAAATTGTGGCTTATATTTCTGAGTACAATCTGATATTTCAAACAAAAATTTTTGAAGATAGTCTGGCATTCCAAATGTAATTTGGGACTTGTGAGTTTCCTGATGGTCCCTTGGAAAAGCCTGGAGAATTGAAGGTGTCTTCATTTTACCTTAAATAAAATCAGTAAATATTCAAGATATTACTGAGTATAAGCTGAGATATGTCAAGTACACACAATCATTCACATGCCTTTATATAGTCTCCTTCTTATTACTGCAACACTGCAACACTTAAATAGGTCAGGGAAAGATGCATAGTAACATCTAACATAATTTTCCTTTTCCAGTTTACCAGGTCAGATTATTTGCATCTCAAAAAATTACACCGTTGCTTTATTAAAGCTGCCCAGGCAATACTAACCACCATAAAGGTTCTCCTTCTTACTCAAGTAACAATTCAGAGCACAGATGCAGGTGGAAATGACAAATGTTTCCCATGGTATAATTCATGATTCATGGACTGGGACTGAAGAAAACTCTATTGTCATGAACATGGAGCTTTCAAGGCAACTCTGGATTATCAAATTCCAGCCAGATAGTAAAGGAAAGAGTATGTAGAAACAAAAGTATTTGCATGGCCATGCCTGGTACACCTGTCACTTCTACTTATTCTATTGCTGTCATTCTGGTCATTGATGTGGTCAATTAGTCACTCAGCTATCTCAGTTGTGGGAAGTAGAGATGTGGAGTCAACACACAGACTCCGGGAGCTGGTGAGAGAACTGGCTGGAGACAAACCTCAACACATTGTCCAGTAGTTCAGTTTATTTTTGGAATGCATACAATTGTTATAGGGTTCAAGTGGGCCATACCCATCAATCATAAATGTGTAAGATAATATCCATAAGCCAATCATCTTATATCTAATGTAAACCACACTATGAGGATGCTCTAAATATTGCTATCATCAGGAAGGGTCTTTGTCCCTAGGCAGGGGGGTACTTTCTAAGTTAGGAATTTCATGCTTGAAGCTCCTGGCTATCAGTTTCCTGGCCTGGCAGCTTAGCAACACTGACCACAATGCTAAGGATGTGGTTTCACTAATGGCTCACTAGAGCAGAACATCCCATCCTGCAAGTGATCCTATCAGGCCTGAACGAGTGTAGATTCTTCAAGCACTCCAAGCTGCTCATAACTGCTAGCTGCAACTGAAAGTTATTTCAACAATTCTCTTATGCAGAAAACTTTATTATATGATCAGATTTAACTACAGGAATATTAATAAACATAGCACAGGATATTCCCAGGTAGAAAGGAGATAAGTAGTAGTCACTGCTTCATTTAAAAATGACATATCATGCAAATAGTCATCTATAACAGGTAATGACACAATAAATGTTCTTCTAAATTTAAAATTTTTAGTCATAGAAAATAGTTTATTTTTTGTGTGGATGGAAACTTTGCATCTTTACTGAGCATATCACATAGTAGGATCTTACTATGTGTATAAGCATAGGAACATACACATAAATACTACTAAGAACTACATCTCTTCTATTTCTTTTTGTAGGCAAATTTAATTTATTGGAAGTTGCTTGAAAGAGCATACATGAGGTGGATTGAGGCAATAAGAGTGTTACAGGGGACACATATAAACACCTATGAACAATATGACAGCAAGAGCCAACATAAAGAAAGTGAGATTTTCAAGAGGGTGTCAAAGTTATAACAGCTTCAAACAGGCTGAAAGTGGTAGGATCCTCCAGATATGTATATGATCCACCCAGTCCAAGAATGCCATATCCATGCATTTCATAGGTAATATGCCCACAATTATCTCTTCATATACCCATTTCTGCACTTCCTACCCTCATCTCATTTTCCAATAAACTTCCACATGCATGTAAATTCTTTATGCTGTTTTTGTCTCTATCTTGTAACCAGTAATACTTATCATGTTTTAGATGATTTATTAACTGATTTTTTAAAACTTTGTACAAATAGAAATACAAAATATATACTTTGTGCTTCACTCCTTTCATTATTATATGGGAAAACTTAATGCATGTTCCATAAAATTCTAGGTATTTTTAGTCTCATTATTATATATGTTACATGAATAAAAAGAAATGGTTTATTTACTACATATAAAACTGTGTTTTACAAACTCATGTGTTTTTTGGTTATACACATTGATTTTTACATCTTTGTATTCTTTGATTTTTTTCTCTTAGATTTCACAAAAACAGTAATTGCTCTAGTCTTAATGAAAATATTTTTGTTAGTTACATTGAACACCTGAACCACATAAAAATGAACAATGCACACTGACACACACAAATACACACATACAATTTTTCTGCTTGAGAAACACCCTAGCTTACACAAATAAAGCCAAGTCCTTCCAGATGTTAGGTGGTTATCAGTTATCCATTGTAGCCAGACACAGTATCAAGTTTTAGTTCTTCATGCAGGAACTTGAACAGCATGACCAATTCATTTCTCAAGTCTAGTGAGAACTCGAGAGCATTCTAAGTAATACTAGAGTATAAGTCATCAGACACCCTATCAGTTTGAGCTGGTGGATCTTCATACATGTATTGTGGTCTACAACAATGGTACTATTCTATTTAATTGACATGCAACTTGAACTTTCTACCACTTTTTTATCAAAAGATCATTCACTCTTCTCCTCCCAGAATTAGCTAGCAAAGATTTTCTCCCATTCTGTAGGTTTTCTCTGACATTCTGAATTGCTTTTTTTGCTGTAAAGGTTTGTTTGTTTGTTTGTTTGTTTTAATTTGATAACATCTCATTTATTAACTCTTGGCACTATTTCCTGAGCTTTAGGCATACAATTGAGTATGCTGTTTTTTGTGTTTATATGCTATAGTGTTGACCCTATGTTTTCTTCTAAGAGTTGCATAGTTTTTGAGTTGACTTTTGTGCAAGATAAAATGAAAGATAGGGATCCAGTTTCATTCCTTTTCATACAGATAACTAGGTTTCCTAGTACCATTTATTAAAGATAAAATATGTAGATGAAATATGCAACAGGCATGTCTTTTCTCCAGTGTATGTTTTGGCACCTTCGTCAAGGATCAGATAATGTTACTGCTGTGCTTTATGTCTGTGTCTTCTATTCTGCATCATTGGTCTATGTGTCTGATTTTGTACCATGCAGTTTTGTTACTATAGCTCTGTAGTATAATTTGAAGTCAGGAATATTCATGCCTCCAGTGTTGCTTTTTTGTCTTAGAATTGCTTTGAATATTTAGGACCTTTTATTATTACAGATAAGAATGTGCTTTCTAGTTATATAAGACCATCATTGGTATTTTGATAGAGATTGCATTGAATCTGTGTATTACTTATGGTAGTATGACCAGTTTGACAATATTAATTCTGCTGACCCATGAACATTTCCATATTCTTGTGTATCCTTCAATTTCTTAAATATTCTATAGTTTTCATCATAGAGCTATTTCAACTCCTGGGGTAGTTTTATTTTTCTTATTAAAGTGCTTTATTCCCACATGATGCAACACTTACTGCCTCATCTCTTTCTAGGTATTTAAGTAAAAACTTAATTAGTGAGGGCTTTATGAACCACCCTACTTTTGTCTTTAAGCTGAATGCTGATATTATTGATTATGTATATGTAAATATATTATGTATAAATATATTATGCTATATTATGTATATATTTATATTTCAGATTGCAAGTTAAAAATTTGGAAAGTCTATAAAACATTTTTCCTATGACACACAGAAAACCATGCCTGACACATACTCCATCTATGTATCATTTTATCCTGTGTTATAATAGAAACTATTGAGCAAAAATTGTGCTCAAAGGATCTAACTAAACACTGTTTTTCTTCCTTATTTTGGATTCTCAGTATAGCAGGGAATGGCCCCAAATATCCATATCTATACCTCAGCAGAAAAGACACTTGGGAAGCAGACTCTCTCCATTTACACATCTTTAATGGAGGCTAAATAAAAAAGTTATTTGTCTAAATAGATTAAAGATTCTGAGTTTCAGTTTGATCTTGTTTAGTTTGTTCACTGTGGATAATAGAAGCATGTAGGGAACAATAAATTAAGAGTGTTTGGAAAGCAGAATGGATATTCCTCAGAAAACTTGGGAAAAAAACATCATTTGACCCAATTATCTCACTCCTAGGTGTATACCTGCAAAACTTTATATCAGCATACTGTAGTGATACATCCACATCAATGTTTGTATCAGTTCAATTCACAATGGCAAAGTTATGGAACCAACAATGGTGCCTTCCAACAGATGAATGGATGAAGAAAATGTAAAATATATATATATATATATATATATATATATGAATATTACTCAGACATAAAAAAGAATAAAATGATGGCATTTTCTGATAAAAGGTTGGAAGTGAAGAATATCATGCTAAGTGAAATAATTCAATTCCAAAAAACAAAGGACAAATGTTTTCTCTGAGATGTTAGTGATAATACATAATAAAGGGAGTAGGGAAGAATATAAGTTCATTGGATCAGACAAAGGGGGATGAAGGGAAGGGAGAGTGGAGGGGAATAGGGAAGGGAGAGTGGAGGGGAATAGGAAAGGCAGTGGAATAAATTAGACATATTTTCCTATGTTCATATATGAATACACAACCAATGTAACTCCACATCAGGTTCAAGTCCAAGGATGCGATCCTAATTAGAATAAATTAAACTTCCTGTAAGTATAATATGTCAAATACACTCTACTGTCATATATACCTAAAAAGAACAAATTAAAAATAAATTCTAATCCTACACCATTTAAAAAAGCATTTAGGCAAAAAAATCATGAGGGCAGTATCACAATAGTTTTAAGGTAACATAATGAGTCATCAAGAAAGTGTCACCAAAGTACATGAATGACTGCTGCTGCTTCCTCAAGTCTCCATGGAATTTAGACCATATTTTCACCTCAAATCCTTGGCTCATCACTGCCGACAATCAAGGACTGTTACAAAACAAGAATAGTTATTTTAGCCAGCTTTTTTGCCACCGTAACCAAAAAAATTAAGACAATTTTAGGAGAAAAAATTTACTTTGAGACCCAGAGTTTTAAAAGTCTCAGTCCATAGATGGCTGGCCCCATTACTCTTAGCCTGAGGTAAGGCAGAATATCACAGCAGAAGAATGTGGTAGAGAAAAGCAG